CCAACCAAACAACCCCATAAATCTCCTCCTTTTCTGTTGACATTTTTTTTATTTACTAGGAGTAAATGTTATTTACTTTAAATATTTTAAAATATACTATTTAGTTACTTAATTTCTTTAAAAAATACAAGTCATGTTTGTAATTGATTTCTTTTTTTACGCTTTTTGAGAAAAAAATAAAAACGTTTTTAAAACGATATTTGACGCAATAAAGATAAAAAATAAAAATAAAAATAATTTTTTAGTTTAATATAAAATGAGAGAAAAATAATAAATGACTTTTAATCGTTTTTTATTTTTTATTTTTATTTTTTCTTTTTTCGATCATAGAGAAAAAAAAAGACATTAATGTATTTTTTTATATTGAAAATAATATCTTGATAAAACTATCAAATATATTTTTAAAAATAATTTCTATCTGAAATTAAAAATATTTTTATTTTTATTTTCATATAAAAAATAAAATTATTTTAAAATGAGTTCTAAATACGCTCGAAATCTACTACAATATTCTGAAATTAAGTTCAAAGAATATTTGTGAAAGCACTGGAAAAATCCGGGGTTATGAGTATTAAAAACCGTAATCATGAATTCCTATAAATGAAATTTGAATTTTTTTAATAGTAAAAATGAAAATAAGGCCCGTAGATTAGTGACAACAACAGTGAAAGCCCATCACACGTGGACAACAAAAAAGGGCTCAGGGAAAGTCCCATAGGTCTTCACGCAGCAGACACGGCTCTCAGCAGCAACAGCAATAAAAGGCGTCAAAACCCTAGCTTACATTTCTCGAGTTTCTCCGCTTAACCAGTAGGCGGCGTCGCAGGGCAGACAGACACACAAGAAGAGCTTCAATTCCATCAACCCTACACCGACAATGGTACTCTCTCTCTCTCCTCTCTTCTTTCTCTCTCTCCTCGAATGTTAGAACTACATGCATACGGATTTTGTGATTTGTATGTCTGTTTGAGAGTAAACCGTTTGGATTTGGTGATGGTGAACAGGGGATCGATATCGTCGCAGGAGGTAAGAGCAAGAAGTCCAAGAGAACCGCCCCCAAGTCCGATGATATCTATCTCAAGCTTCTCGTCAAGGTAAAGAGCAATTGTTTCTATATGCCTGCCTTATATTGTTGGAATGTTCTTGGTTGGAGATCTATTTATTTGTTAATATGGTTTTTGTTTTGAAATTTTCGAGCTTTTTTAAAATTGTTTATTTGGTTGTCTATAATGAACTTTTCTGGGTGCCTAGTTATTCCGTCTAATCCATTTTACAAAATCCTTGTGAAAGTTTTCTCTTTTGCAATGATGATAAATGTGTATCCCAGCTCATTATGAGACCTTTTGTAGGTCTAGGAAAGATTCATTTCCACATTTATCTGAGCCTACAATGCCTTTCTTTTAATTGTTTCATGTCATTTTTCATTTTGCTGTTAATATTATTCAGGAAGTTTTCATGTTTAATGGTTTCTATTTTTTTTTCAAACATTTGTTGGAAGAAAATGTATTGTTATTATTATAACCCTATATACTTGAGCAAAAATTTTATTATATTAATTCACTATATACTTAAGCAAAATTTTTATTATATTGATTCACTAAATCAAACTCTGATTACTCGTTCCCGGTGATGTTTTTCGACTGAACCATGCTAATGCTGATGACTGCATGACGACTTTTTTTCTTAAATGTGCTGAGGGAACTAGTACTCTTCTCTAGTTACCATTTATAACATTTCTTTGAAGTTCTCTTTATTTGGGTTAAGGAATTTGGTTTTTACATTTTATGCACACAAAAAAAAAACATTGTGTTATTTTAATTCTACTGAAAGATTTACTGAATTAAAGCACTAGTTTGTTTCTTTTCTTGGTCCCCTGAAAATTATTTGAGCACAGAATTTAAGAGATGTATGTTGAATTGGGTAAAATGAAGGTCATGGAAAATTGGGAGACTTGTGTTCCGTTACATGAGACAATTGGACTTGGGATATTTGTGGCTTATTAGAGTTCGTGTCTACATAAGTTTATTGGGAACAATAATATTTTTTTAATGAACATGCACATATCTGATATGAACTTTCTTTTGTTGTTTTATATAATCTCTCCAGCTTTCTATCTTCTGCATTTGCTTTTATTTTTAAATAAATTTTTGTATATAAATTTGATTCTGTATTGGATCTTTCTCAATCAGCTTTACCGCTTTCTCGTGCGGAGGACTGGTAGTAAGTTCAATGCAGTGATTCTCAAGCGCTTGTTCATGAGCAAGGTCAACAAACCACCGCTTTCCCTTTCTAGACTGATCCGCTTCATGCAGGGGAAGGTTTGTGACTTTAATCTCACTCTCTGCCTGTTTAACTTCTTCCTGTAAATTTCTGAAATACTATATTTTATATTGACTGCTGAGTTTGTTAATTAATTTTCTCTGTGCATTGTATAGGAGTCTAAGATTGCTGTGGTAGTTGGGACTGTGACGGATGATATCCGTGTTTATGATGTTCCTGCTTTGAAGGTCACAGCCCTAAGGTTTACCGAGACGGCAAGAGCAAGAATCGAAAAGGCTGGAGGGGAGTGCCTTACCTTTGATCAGCTTGCTTTGAAGGCACCATTGGGCCAGAACACGGTACTTGGCTTACTACTACTATTCGTGTTATTGTTTGGTGCCATTTTCATCTTTTTTCTCGCTTTGTATTCCCTTGCTGCTTCTTGATCTTTTTTTTTTTTTTTTATTGCTCTGTTCATGTCCATGCTCGAATGTATTTTGAATCTGTTCTCGTTCTCTCTTTCTTTAGGTTCTTCTTAGAGGTCCTAAGAATGCACGTGAGGCAGTGAAACACTTTGGTCCTGCTCCTGGTGTGCCGCACAGTCACACGAAACCATATGTGCGGTCAAAGGGAAGGAAGTTTGAGAGGGCTAGAGGGAAGAGGAACAGCAGGGGATTTAGGGTTTAAGCTGAGTTTAGTTGTTGAAATCGAACATGTGTCGTTTCTGACTGGCAATTCAATTTTGCATTGTGTTAGGTTTTCTGTGGTCTGTTACTATTTTGTTTCCCGTTGGGATTATTGTATTTCCAGAGTTTATGCTTGCATTAGTACTCTAGTTGTTTTTGATCAAGTTATAAAATGGCGTTTATACTTTTTAAGGCATCTATATATTGGCCACCTTATAATCAGAGAACATCGAAGCAGTCTGAATTACTGTCTGTTTCGTTATGTATTTGTTATGACTTGTGACTTTGACTGAAAATCGTTGATTATAAATAATGAATTTATATAAAATGAGAATCAAGCAATGATGCATACAATGACATGAAGTGGCCATGCACACCACTGAAATTTGTATTACCAAACATGATTAGTTTCATAAAGGAAAATGAAAGCATGACCCTTGCGTTCTTGGCCACAAACTGTGGAAAATAAAGACATTCATTAACTGATGTGAAGGATCGTTAGGTGTATATGATTACTGATCTCTTAATCCAGTTGGTATCAAGTATCAATTATCGATGTTGTCCATGTGCTCTCAGTCCTCTGATCTCTATTTGTGACATTTAATGATTAAGATGAAAGTGACTACTCATCAAGTTTTTGTGAAGGATCGTTAGGTGTATATGATTACTGATCTCTTAATCCAGTTGGTGTCAAGTATCAATTATCGATGTTGTCCACGTGCTCTCAGTCCTCTGATCTCTATTTGTGACATTTAATGATTAAGATGAAAGTGACTACTCATCAAGTTTTATTGTAGCACCAACAAAGGAAAAATGAAAGAAAATGACGCTGATTGAAGAATTAGAATCTGTTAAAGAAGGCCATCGCTAGTCTTAAGCCAGAATCCACTTGAATTCAACGGAGGCAAAAGTTGAGTAAATCTTAATTAGCAAGAAAGCTTAATGCGTCTAGAGAACATAACGAAAGCGGACTAGAATTTCTGAATGAAGTCATAGATGTGGGTGCTGATTTCCTCAGCTCTTTCCTGGCTGATGAAGTGACCAGCATCTTCAATGACTACAACTTCCTGCAGATATGGAACGTCTTTCTTGAAGCCACCATTGTGTACATATTCCTTTGTACCCGGGGTTGTGTAAACCATGTCCAAATCTCCAACTATGAACTTTACTGGAACTTTCACTTCTGCCCCGTCCCACGCCGCCATCAGCTCCCAGTTTCTGCAACAAACAGATCACGCACTCAAAAAAAAATAAATAAAAGAAATCCCTATGTTATAAGTTTCCCAAGAAGCAAGAGTTTGGTTCATAACAAGATTACAGTTTATAGTGACACACATGTCCAGATTTCTGTAATAGTTCAACCCTCCAGTGAAGCCCTTAAGTTTGAATTTTGTGGCATAGTAGTTGAGGTCTTCCTCTGAGAGCCAAGAGGGCAAGGTGACTGAAGCATCAGGATCAGCTCTGAATGCCTTTCCTTTAGGCAAGAACGGTGGACCCGGCTTCCGAGTTGTTAAAATTTTCTTTAATACTGCTGATGCCCCAACCTGAGCCATCTCTGCTTCAATTTCCCCTGGTTCCTGCAAAATCAGAAAGGGGATATTAATGGCTATTAATCTAGTGTGGTACTTTGTTTGTTTGTCATCTTAGTCCCAACTTTTGCACTTCGAGTATCATCAAAACAAGGCTAAGTAAAATAGAATAAGCATGGCAGATCAGTTTCAAATTGCCACAAAATTTTAGAACCCTTGTCGAAGAGAGTTTAATTTGAGGGAATAAAATCATTTTGATACATGTATTATAACGATACATGTTCTTAATATCCTGTGTTTTTTATAATATTAAAATGGTACTTTGACCTTTTTTAAAACATATTCTGAGTACCTTAAAGCTAATTTTTAGTATATACAATGTCCAAACTACTATTCTTAACAATTAAATAGAAATTAGTATTTTTTTTTAAAAAAATCTAAAAATATTTTAAAACATTAAAATATTTAAAAGAAAATAATATAATAAAAAAGCTCGTAATTTTTTTTTCTAGATCTATTAGTTTTTATTAATTATATAAACTAAGTTCATTTTACATTTGAAAAAAAAAATCAGTTTTAGGGTACTAAAAATATGTTCTTAAAAATGTCAAGATATCACTTTAATATTATCAAAAAGACAGAGTATCAATAACATATTTCGCTATAATACAGGATATCAAAATAATTTTATCCCTAATTTGAGAGTTCCAACAACAAACTTCTGGAAGCTGTTTTCATCAACTACATAAAAAGTGTTTTTTTTATTTTTCATTCAAAAAAACCAAATTCAGATGTATGGTTGTCAAACTCGCATCCAAATATAAAAGGTATAGAATCCTACCAAATATCATTTGTACAATTCTTTTCTTTTTGTTCCAAAACTACCCTTTTGCAGTTAGTTACTCTTCTATGCATATCTTGGTTGAGCAGAATTAACCAGAAAATACTTGACATTACTCCACAAAACAACAATATCTAAACATGATCAAATTAGTTGCTAAAAAAAAAAGAACTAAAGGAAGGACCTGAAATCTGCACATATAGTAGTCATCTCCAAAGAAAGCTCTCATGCTCTCAACAGGCTTCATCTTGGGATTCCTTGGCCTAAAAGGCACGCCAAGGCAAACAAATGCCTTAACTTTCTCCGGTCTAAACAAGCACAAGTACCAAGCCATCAAGCACCCCCAATCCTGTGCCACCAGGTACACCTGCTCCACACCTAGAGCGTCCACCAAGCCAACAAGGTCACCAACAACATGAAGACACGTGTAGCTGGCGACATCTGCCGGAGCGTCGGTGTCGCCGTAGCCACGTAGGTCAGGTGCCACGGCACGGTACCCCAGGGAGCTGAGGGCACTGATCTGGTGCCTCCAGGAGTACCAGAGCTCGGGGAAGCCATGGAGGAAGAGCACAACTGGGCCGTTCCCTTTCTCCGCTATGTGCATTTCTATGCCATTCACACTTACCGTTCTGTGAGTTATTTTCCCCTCCATTGTTATTTGTTTTTCTCTCTTGATCTCTCACTCTGTTGCTCTCTCTTGTGTTCTGATGAGGAGGTTTTTAAAGGAGGGTTCTCTTGTGAGTGGAGTAAATGCATGCTTATTTATGCAGGTTGGTGAAAAGCTGGTCTTTTGATTAATTTGAAAACGAACTGTTCAACCTGTGAGTAAACTAAAAGATTTGGACTCTCTCTTTGGTTTTTTCGAAGTAAAGTGATATAATTGACACAATGCTATGTGGCAGTCATGGGTCTCCATGCATGACACATGCATTGTTTTCTTCGTCTTATTTCGTTTTTTTTCCCTTCTAGCACTGACATTTATTACTGTCAGTTGAAGATGCTAGAAAATCTGTATTATAAATATTGTTGTAAAGTATTCTTGTAATTTCTTATTATTTAGTAATGGAATACATTTCATATATTTATCTGTTTTTAGTTAATTTATTACTGTTATTCTTTTCTTTTAGTTACAAAGTGTTGCATCTAGAAATCGAAGTAATCAAACAACTATGATGTTTTTTTTTATATAAATTCAACAGGTAAAAAAAAGTTTTTGATTTTACATTTTTCTTTTAGTTTTAAACATTTACGGTCTAAGATGTATTAAAATTTACTTATCTCTTTTTTGCAGGACCCTTTATTTTAAATAAAACCACAAGAATTTGGAATTCTTGGCGACCAATTTCAAAGATAAAAGGATGCAATAGCATTTGAAGATGTTTGTATTTTCTTTATCTTGGAAACGAAGATGTTTTAGTTAAATGGGATTATAAGACCTCTGTTCATTTTTTTTTCCTCTTCAATGTTTATTCCTTACGTTTTATGGATGGGATCAATAGAATTTGCTTGAATTTTAAATTATGTTGTTTAAATTTAAGGTTTTTAATTTTTTTTTTAATTTTTTAAAGAGTTGTTTAAATTTAGGGTATGTTACATATTTACCTCCTAAACTTGTATGTCTTTAGCTATTTGCCCTTTAAATTTTTAATTTGGTCAAGTTGCCCTCTTAATTTATAAAATTGTTGTAATATGTCTTACTTTGATTTTTAACGATGATTGTGTTAAATTAGGGTTCGTTTGGTTGGAGGATTCAAACCATGTGATTCGAACCATTTTCGATTTACGTGTATTTTTTGTGAGAGAAAATACTGTAGCGAACAACGAATCATGATTCGAATCAGGGAACGAATCCCTCTACCAAACGCTCCATTAGTGTTAAAAAAACACGTTTAATAAAAAATTATAACATCTCAATTCAAATGTAACACAGATATTTCAATTCCTTAACTTTTAATCTCCCTTAAATCTAATAAAAATTTTAAACAAATTTATAAAAATGGAGTATATTGTAATAATTTTACAAGTTTAGGAGGTTGATTGTCAAATTTAAAAATTTAAAAGGTAATTTACTAAACCACGATAAGTTTAAGAGTAATTGTGCTAAAAATCCTTAAATTTAAGTTGTTATGATAGGCTAGATAGATATAATGCTTATTCAAAAAAGAAAAGAAAAGATACGAATAACGCCTTGTTTCTATTCTAATGCAACCGATGATGGGTTTTTTTTTTCTTTTGTTTTTTTTTTTTTTTTTAATAATATGGAAAGAGATGTCAGTTTTTACTTTTCAATAAAAAAGAATGAAGAAAAGATGGAAATTCTATAATAGGGGCAGTATAATTTCTCGGGTAGGTACAATCTAAAGGTTGAGATTAAATTTTGGTGAGGGCACATCTATGACCCTCCGAATTATACCCCAAATTTAACAAATATAATTACAAAACAACCCTTATATTCTATCAAAATACCTCACTCAGTGGTGCAAGTTTGGCGGTGGGCAAGTGCCATTCATCGCCCGTCCGAGGTATTTTGTCGGCCACGGGCTCGGACAGCCCGAAAAAATTCATTCCCTAGCTGCCCGCCGCCGTGAGAAGTCGTCCCCTGCCGTCCGCCGGATTTTTTTTTAATTTTTCGGCGTAACCCAAATTTGCCCGAATTTTTTTGACCGTTAGCCCGAATGTTTTTGACCGTTAGCCCGAAATCCGCCCGAATTTTGAACCCAATGGATCTTTTTGCCCGAACCCGACCGCCGCCCGATTTTTGCCCGAAAATTTGAACCCGAACGACTATATGTTTGACCGTTGCCCGACCTGCCCGATTCGACCCGAGTGCCCGAAAATGTTACTAGCCGTTGGACCCGAATTTTTGGGGGAAAATTTGTTTTTTTCAAGCCAAAAATTTTCCTATAAATACCCCCCTTCCCCCCAACCATTTTCCTCACCCAAAAACTCTCATTCTCTCTCAATTTCTCTTAATCTCTCTTAATCTCTCTCAAATCTCTCTTAATCACGCATAAATCTATCTCGATCTCTCTTAATCTCTCTTAAAGCACTCTCAATCTCTCTTATTTTTCATTATGGCTTCTTCTGGTTATGGTGGTGATATTCCCATTGATGCCCAATTCAACATCGAAGAAGGGCAATTTTCTAACACAGGAATCGCAAACTACGGAAAGAGTTGCTGAGAAAACTGCAAATCTGACCTCTGGTGGACATATTAGAGGTCGGGGACGTAATGGTAGTGGCACTGGTGGGCGTGGAGGAGAGGCAAGCGGTAAAGCTAGTGCAAGTGTTGCAAGTTCTAAGAAGAAATGCAAGCGCACCTCAACAGTTTGGGAGCACTTTAACACATTCGAGGAGTTCGACAATAACGGTAACATTAAATACATAGATCAATGTAAATATTGTGGTGAGAAATTACAATGTAACACTATTCACAGCTCTACACACTTAAGAAGACACTCTGAAAAGTGTCTTCAAAAGCACGGAGGCGGAGCTAATCTTAGCCAAACGTAATTATCGTTTGACCGCCAAACCGGCGGTCTAAGCACATGGAAATACGATCTGCAAGTTGATCGTATGAAAATGACACGATTAATAGCCACATTAGATCAACCACTAAGTTTTAATGAACAATGAAATTGGCTGCGTTATATTAAAATTGTACATAATCCTAATGCACAATTGTTTTCTAGAACTACTCTTAGGAAAGATGCATTAAAATTATATAAAAAAGAAAAGGAAGTATTAATCAACCATCTACACTCTACTAGTAGTTGTGTTGCGTTAACGGTGAATATTTGGTCCGCCGTTGCCAACAAGGATTATTTAGCTGTAATCGGACATTATTATAAAGGTTTTAATTTGGATAAGAGAATCTTAGGTTTCAAATGTGTTATAGGATCACATACTGCCAATTTAATATATAACATAATTTTATCTGTTATTGATGAATATTGTTTAAGAGATAGAATAATGGCCATAACATTAGATAATGTAATTTTATCTGTTATTTTCGACCCTAGATTAAAATTAGAAGGTTTAGAAAGTGGATTAGATAACTTAGGGGAATTTTTAGCTATCGGCACTACTAACTAATTTCCTATTATAATGGAAAAAATATTTCTCTCTATATCTCTTACGAAAGTAGGTTTAGAAATACAGATCGTGTTGAACAACCGCAACAACGAGACGACAATCCGCATTCATTCTTGAATATTTTTGGGCTGTCTAAGAAGAAGAAGAAGACGACGACTCAAGGTCAAGAAGAATCTGGGAGTGGATCTTCGTCAAGAGGTGGCGGCAACAGCGTCGGATTCAACGAGTTAATGACGTACCTGAGTGAGGGCTTAGTTGTAGACAATAGTGAAATGTTTGATTTGGTTCAGTGGTGGAAGGCACGAGCATTAACTTGGCTGATCCTAACACGACTAGCAATGGATATTTTTCTAATCCCGGTCTCCACTGTTGTGGCCGAACAAGCATTCAGTACAACCGGCCGAATGCTTGAAGAACGGCAAAACGCATTGCAACAGGAAATTGTTGAAGCTTTGGTATGCATCAAGGATTGGGATCGTTCCGACCAACGCTTACACGATACAATCTCACCGACAAGCCAAGAATGGATCGATGAGTTTAATAGATTAACTTTTAATTTTCAAGACGATCATTCTGCTTCAAATTAAATTTTATTATTGTAATTTGTAATTCTTGGTAAGGTTTTTAACGAGGCAATCATGAATTACAAATTTAAAAATCAATGAAGAAATAATTTTTTTTATATAGTTCGTGTGATCATTTCAAATTTCAAATTGTAATATATATATAATATATATATACAAATTATAATTATACAAATACAATATAAAAATATAGTATAAAAAACGTTTGAAAATTCGGGCAGCCGGTCGGGCATTGGGCAGCCCGACCGGGCACGGGCAGCCACCTCCTGCCCGAAGCCCGTCCAAGGTGAAAATTCAGGTCGGGTCGGGCAGCCAGAATTTTCGGGCAGTTCAGGTTCGGTAATCGGGCAAAAATTTAAAATTTTCAGTGATCGCGGGCAGCCCATCCAAAGTTTCATCACTAACCTCACTCCAATATTTTAAATAATGATGAAAAATCCATTACTTCACAAATTCTCATAAAATAAATCTTACATCAAATAATACAAATTGAACCTATTACTAGAATCGCATAAATTTCCAACAAATACACGAGTGATTTTATTAGTCAAATCAGACAAATAACACAAATTTGAAAAAAATTTCCACTTTCAATCTTCTTTTGCCTTTTCAAAGAAAAGCCCGAAATCTGTCTGAATTTTAAACCCAACGGATCTTTTTGCCTGAACCCGATCGCCGCCCGATTTTTGCCTGAAAATTCGAACCCCAACGGCTATATTTTTGACCGTTGCGCAAATCCTGCCCGACCCGACCCGAGAGCCCGAAAATGTTACTAGCTGTTGGACTCGAATTTTTGGGGGAAATTTTTTTTTTTTTCAAGCTAAAAATTTTCCTATAAATACCCCCAACCATTTTCCTCACCAAAAACTCTCATTCTCTCTCAATTTCTCTTAATCTCTCTTAATCTCTCTCAAATCTCTCTTAATCTCACTTAAATCTATCTCAATCTCTCTTAATCTCTCTTAAAGCGCTCTCAATCTCTCTTATTTTTCATTATGGCTTCTTTTGGTTATGGTGGTGATATTCCTATTGAT